TAAATAAAGAAATGCTGAAAACCATGAACTCATCATCAGGTCTGTCGTGGTTCTGTTACGTAACTCTATTATCAGCATACATTGCAATTAATGTAAAAAGAAACTATCAAAGAAGGTATTTCTAACAAAGAGCAGTTGAGGCAATCGTCATATTTGACAGAATCTCAAGTTAATTAGTAGCAGCATAGTCAATCACTAAAAATCTAAAATGCAACTTAACATTCATCTGCCACCAGTTCACAACAGCCATCTCAAGCTGTTTTATTTTGTAAGGTAAACAGTGATTTAAACCAGATTGTGGTGTGTTTTTATTTGTTAATTTTACTTGGCAATGTCTTATACTTTATATACTCTGTCCATCTTTTTTTAAAGGGCCTTTATGGCAAATGTTCTTCTCACTTTCTGAATTGACAAATGGTAAGACAAAGGTTGAAAGAGAAGATCAATGAGATATGGGGAATGGGAGAAAAAATATTGAACAGAGAAGGATAGTGTCATTAGAAAGGAACAGTGCAGCTGTCCAAAGACTCTTGTGTACCCGCCTAATGCTACCTCTTTCCTCCTCTCCCACTCTTTAACTAATAAATTACAAAAACGTATCTACACAGAAGCTCATGTGCTGTTACCACAAAGATACCAATGGTAACTAGAATAGACTAGCCCTTTATTGTCATTGTACAAAAACTGTCTCTCAGAGCAGTGATACCAGATCCAGCAGCAACTTGTAAAGCACACTAGTCTCCTCTGGTCTAATCAGTTTTCCATTAGACCAGAGGCTCATAGAGAAACAACCAAAAGAAAAAAAAAAATACTACTGGCCTCTAAGATTGGCAAGCTCCAGTTATTGTTAGCAGGACATGAACACACCCATGAAATTTAGACATGGTTGTGATTCAGTGGAATCAAAGGTAAGCGACGCTTCCTGTGACAAACGTTAGCTGTGGCTAAAAGTAACAGAAAAGTAACACCAAAACTAGATTCAGTTTTTTTTAACCTAGGTGTTACTTTGGTACCTTAATTAAAGTAACAATTTATGGAAAATTATCCATCAAACCTAGTGTTTTGTGAGTTATTAAAGCCACAGAGATCCTGTAAATTGATAAATAACTTTACACTTCAGCGGTAATGGGATGGTGAGAAAACTGTAGAAAGAAGACATTTTAAAGAGAAGCCTCTTGTGTTTAAATACTGTTGAAAACTGTTGTTTGAGTACGCCAGTTTGTAAACCCATTCAAATGAAAATAATCAGTGAAATTAGCAGGTTTTTCAGCGTGACAAATAATTTTTCACCCAAATTTCAATTTGAGCAGCAAAATGTGTTGAATTATGGTCAGAAGGCAAAACAACTTTTATTAGATTTAGCTTGGTAGCTTTTGTGTTATGTGACTGATAGGTGGATTAACAGCAGCAATCTCATTGCTCCTCCTCCGCACTCTGTTGGAGGAGAAACATAACTGCTAGAATGATTCAATTGCAAGGAAAAATATGTCAAACACAATTTTCCCTATAAATGCTGCATCAATAACACTGTTCTTCCTTCCCCTTGTGCTCAGGTTGTTTGCTGTGGAGTGCAGCAACTGTCTTGGAAAGATAGCGCCCACAGAGTTTGTTATGCGAGCTCTGGACAGTGTTTACCATCTCAGCTGCTTCCGCTGCTGTGTCTGCCAGCGCCAGCTGAGTAAAGGAGATGAGTTTGTACTGAAAGAAGGTCAGCTGCTGTGCAAGACTGACTATGAGAGAGAGAGGGCCCTGCTCAGTACACTCAGTCCAGACATCACAGACTCAGGTAATATTTTATAGCAGATTATTAAAGAAAAGAACTGAATCAAAAGGAACG